CCCTCCTTGATTTAGAAGACAAAAAAAGTAACAAATTGGTATCAGGCAGCCAATGCGATTATTTCCATTAATGCAATTCTTCTTCACTGTTCACCCTCCATTTTTTATTTCATTGCCTCGCGCAGCGCCATTGTTTGGTGAACAGCTCATCATATATATATGATATATATATATGTACCCGGAACAGTGTCTAAAGAAAAATATGTTTCATCATAGGTATTCATGCGCTGGGGCTCCCAACACTGCTTTGGGCCCAACCACCCCCACAGCAAATTGGATATTCAGCATTCAGATGCTGAACAATGAGAGTCATAAATGAAAGTCATAAAATGAGAGGAAAGATTTGAAACATTATTTTACCTGTCTGCCACATTTAGCGGGATAATTTTGTTGTCTTCTACTGCTATAAAATATCTGTCAAATCAGAGAGAAGAGACTTAGACAATTTTAACAGACATATTGGGGGTGGGGGGAAGGGGGTATCAAAACAAGGAGGTACCTCAGTAGGGAATCAGACAGGAAGTCATCCTGGGAGCAATCAGATGAAGCGGCCAAATCAAAGTCAACACAGGAAAGCTCAGACCTTTGGCTCTTTCTGCTCCAAGAGTCTTTGATGCCTTCGGGCAGACTTCTCCTACTGGGCGTCTGTTAGTCTGGAATTCCTGTTGTCCTCTAGCCCAGTGGTCCCTAAACTTGGGCCTCCAGATGTTCTTGGACTACAGCTCCCAGAAGCCTTCACCACCACCTCTGCTGGCCAGGATTTCTGGGAGTTGAAGTCCAAGAACATCTGGAGGCCCAAGGTTGGGGACCACTGCTCTAGCCAGTATGACCATTGGTACTCAGGGACAGAATTAACACACTCATGATCATGGGGCTCTGTGTGATCAAGTGAATCAGTGATGAAATGAGGACACTTCTTGAGCAAATTTCTCATACAACCAGCCATGTCAGAAGCTGCCTTGCAATTAATCAAATCACTTGTCTTTCCTCCTAATATTGTCTACTCTTTTTGGCTGCACCTCTCTGCTGTCTCAGCTAGCGATGGGCACAAATCATCGGTTTTCATCCAAACAGGTGTTCAGAGCTTCCCCTGCCCCACCTCCTCCCGATGCTGGGAAGCACCCAACACCCGTTCAGACAAAAATCTAACTGATACGAACCCCTGAACTGACAGTTCGTGCCTCTCTCTAGAAGGTAAAGTGCCTGGAAATGCTGAGAACTGGCCTTTTATGCAAGCATGTACTCTGTGACAAAGCCAGAGCCTATCCCAGTAGAGACAAGGGTGGAAAAAATGCTACAATTCCACCTCCGAGAGAAGGAATGCAAGAAAGAATTCTCCAACAGCTCTTCTTCCGGACAGGATTATGGTGCTTGAAAATTGTAGTCCCACTCTTATGTCTGAGGAAGTGGACTTGTCCACGAAAGCTCACATTAAAATATAGCAGTCTTTTACACGTCACAACGCTTTTGTCTCTTTTAAAATTATTATTCTGTTTTTGCCTGATATGCTAGTGCAGACGAACTCAGCTACCTCTTCTAAAAATTGTCTGTTACACATTCCAGAAGGCACTATATATGATTTAGAGCTAAATTCCAGAATCCTGCAAAGATGGACAAGGTGTGCAGATGGACAAGATGTGCAGAATATAGGACAGGACACATAATTCATCTCCCTGCAAATACTGGCCTTTTCCCCCCTTTTACTGTCAACTCAAGCTTCTAATCCATAAGCCTCTAAAAATATGCCTGACAAAGTGTGGGGAACACCTTTTGAAATGTGAGAGGTCCCCGAATAAGATTTCCAATTATATAGAAGATGGCTTAATTTCCTACTTAACTTCTTGTCCCTTAAAGGTAAAGATTCCCCTTGGCATTTTCAGTCCAGCTGTATCTGACTCTAGGCGGCGGTGCTCATCCCCGTCTCCAAGCCACAGAGCCAGCGTTTGTCCGAAGACAGTTTCTGTGGTCACGTGGCCAGCACGACTAGACACGGAACACCATGACCTTCGCACCGAGGTGGTACCTATTTATCTACTTGCATTTTTACATGCATTTTTACATTGCAGGAGCTGGGACGAGCGACGGGAGCTCACTCCGTCACGTGGATTCAATCTTACGATGGCTAGTCTTCCAACCTTGCAGCACAGAGGCTTCTGCAGTTTAACCCACAGCGCCACCACGTCCCATTCTTGTCCCTTACCAAGCCAAAATAAAAGAAATACTCCATGAAGAGAAATGTGCAAACTAAGCAATGCAAAACAGGTTCAGCAGGTTTGCTTAAACTGCACAATTGACTGCAAAATCTATTTTGCCTGGGGACAGAATTAAGTTTTTTATGTGCTGTGTTCGTCTACATACAAATATAATATTGTGGATGTTCACAAGAGCAACTGCTGTTGCTTAAATAACAACTATAAGGAAGAAGACAATAGCAGGATTGGGGGAATTCCAACAATTGCAAAAGCACAAAAATCTTGTGGGAGAAAGCAACCATTACAGGTATAGGCTAACACAAGCTAGTCTCCATGACTGAACAGTTTGTGGAAAAACAGAAAATCATAAGAACAAAAGAAGAGCCATCCTGGATCAGGCCAAGGGTCCATCTGGCCCAGCTTCCTGTATCTCACTATGGCCCCACCAGATGCTTCTGGGAGCACACGAGACAACTAGATATCTGTCTCCTGATATCCCTCCCTTGCATCTGGCATTTGGAGGTCCCTTCCTTTTAAGCCCATCATGGCTTGTAACCTGTGATGGACTTTTCCTCCAGGAATCTGTCCATTCCCCTTTTAAAGGCATCTAGGCCAGATGTCATCACCACATCGTGTGGCAAGGAGTTCCACGGACTAGCAACACTTTGGATAAAGACAGATTTTCTTTTGTCTGTTCTCATTCTCCCAACAGTCAACTGGAGTTCTGGCATTGCGTGAGAGGGAAAAGAGCTTCCCTCTATCCACTTGATCCATTTCCTGCATAATTTTATACAACTCAATCATGTCCCCCCCTCAGGCACCTTTTCTCTAGACTAAAGAGCCCCGAACGCTGTAGCCTTTCCTCACAAAGGAGGTGCCCCCATCTAGTAATCATTTTAATCAAGTAGGAAGGGAAAAGAAAGGAAGTTCCCTGGACTGAGGACATGGCTGGCTGGCTGACTGAAATGAAGAGAACTTGATATAGCATTATTTTTTTGCAGACCTGACTTGGTTGAGTGAGTGTGTCTGTCCACGATAACGTGATTCTAATTAACATAAGAATCGCAGTAGATGAGATGTTTCCATGTTATCTTCTTTCTAGGAATTAATGGTGAAGATTGTGGATTGCTGTTGTTTCAATTAGTTTACTTTTTATTCTGGCAATTATTCACTTCAGGCTTTGGTACTAAATCTGCTTCTTTTTTAAGTCAGTTAGTTTGTTTATATACTGGCTTTTGCATTTTTTTCCTCCTATTTTAAATTATTTGATAAAGACAATTTTGATTTGCCCAATATTGATATCTATGCATGGCTACTTTTAAAAAGCAAGGAAATCTGTGAAAGAAAACAAACCTTTCAGCTAAAAGCAAAAGTTAGGGTTGAAACTGTGCCCCTAAAAGAAAACTTAAGCCCACAGATAATCCCACCTCTGTGCTCAAAACATGGACACACTGATCAACTATTTTTGTACTTTCTCCAAGTAAAACCAGAGCACCTCACTCTCCATATAGCACCCACTTAATGAAATACAGGCTTTGATAGTGCCACCATCTACAAACAACAGATTTGCAGTTCAGTTGTATCTACTTTTACATAAGCATTAATAGTTCAGTCCAGCTGAACTATATTTGGGGAAAAGGGAATCTCACTGTGTTTAATAACCTTAGTCTTAGCAGAGGTATTTTATTTTTAGAGAGTTAAAGAAAATAGACATAGAAGAAGGGTCCATTAGTGTGTTTATCTTTCAAATAAGAAGGGGTGCTGATACGTGATCCAAATTTTCTTCCTAAAGCTAACTTTTTTGCTTCAAACTAAAGATTTTTCTCTCTCTTTTATATACAGATTTATATCCCTTTCCAAACATACTGTATAGGTGTTTTTCAAGAGTTCAGGTAGTTACCTGTTGAAAAGATCAGAACGTTCAATGATTTTTGAGCAGCATAGTGATCATCGGATTAAGAGCTGTTTCATCTTGAAACAGGTTAGGATTCCTTGAATCATGGAATGTTAAGAAATTACTCCTTCCAGGGGGAAAAAAAATATTAGAACACAACACAAAGCATACTCACACAATCCACAATCCTGCTGAGGTAAACAGTGTCAATACAAGAGGTAAGAACATCCATACGCTGCATTTCTTCCCATCCATGCCTGGAAGAAATGTTTTAAAAAGGATTAAAGCCAAGCCAAAAGAGCACAGACACGGGGGAAGGGTGGAAGACATTATTAAATAATTAAAACTGTTTCATCACCACATCGCAATTTACAGACGGCTCGATTTACAGACTTTTCGAGTTACAGACTTCTCTGGCCGCAAAATTTAGGTTCGACTTGCAGCCAGAGAATCGACCTACAGACCAGAAAAAAAAACAAAATGGAACAAAAATGGCCGGTTATGGCATTAATCTGTTTTCAATGCATTGTAGGTCAATGGAGACTCAACCTACAGACTTTTCGACCTGCAGCCACCGTTCCAATACGGATTAATTCCATAAGTAGAGGGTCCACTGTAATTGCTGGCTAAGGAGACAACACGTCTAGTAGGTGATCCAATAGTAAGCCACAACCACAACCATAGTAGACCCATTGAATCAATGGAATTTAGAACGAAGGTGGCGCTCCAAATCCTCACTGATTCAATGGGCCTACTCTAGTTGCAACTTACTAATGCATTTCAGCCTATGAGGTAACTTAAGGCTAACAATGACTGTAGCAAGTTTATCAAGTAGACTCCATGGCCAAACAGGGAACTCGAACCCATACCCAAGTCTGTAGACTAGTAGTTCCCAATCTTGGGTAACCCAGGTGTTCGTGGACTGGAATTCCCAGAAGCCTTCTCCACCAGCAGTGCTGGCCAGGGTTTTTGGGATTTGCAGTCTAAGAACACCTGGGTTACCCAAGGTTGGGAATCAACGCTGCAGATTAAATGCTACCATACACTCTTGGGGGTGGGGTGGGGGACTCACAGATATCCTGTGACCTAGGATTTTAAACATGCCGCCCTCCAAAAATTGACATATCAATATAAAATTAAAATGTTACCATTGAACACTTATATATGTCTGGTTTATAAATGTAGTGTTGCATAGCAACCCTAATCGGGCTTTCAAGGTTAATGAGATATTTAAGGAGTGGTTTTTCCAGTTCCATTTCCCCAGTGAGTTTCCATCTGAGCGGGAATTCAAACCCTGGTCTGCGGAATCTTAATCCAGCACTCTATCCACCACTCCACATTGGATATGATTTCTAGGAAGCTGAAAACCTTTCCATACGAAGTCTCTTTTCCTTGCCGTAACCCTTGAGGTTCTCAGCAATCATTCTTCAAAATATAATTTTAAAAAATGGGTGGGGGCACGATTGTTATTTTAACCTTTTTTAACTCCTGGTGGAAAGAGCATCTCCTCCCTGTTGCACCAATAATTTTGCAGCATCCAAAACAAAGCAAAAGCAGCTAAGATACTGAAATATTCAGTGAGACTGTCTGCTACTGGAATTCAGGCAAATATCTTACCATCTGTGCTTAAAATTCAGAAATTTTTTTGGTTTAATTAATATCCCACTTAATATCCCAAATTAATATCCCAAACTGGGATTCACGTTGGCTCACAACAAAATTAAGCAAAGAAGTGCAGATTCAAGCAATAAAATATAGCATTAAAAACACAAATATATATATGTGTGTGTGTGTGTGTGTGAGAGAGAGTGTGTGTGTGTGTGTGTGTGTGTGTGTGTGTGTGTGTGTGTGTGTGTGTGTGTGTGTGTGTGTGTGTGTTTTCTGGGCTGTCAAGTCAGATGCAACTTAATGTGACCCTAATAGGGTTTTCAACGAGATACATTTTTACCAGTTCCACTCCCCCAGTGTGTTTTGATGGTCAAGTGGGGATTCGAACCCTGTTCTCCAGAGTCCTAGTCCGTCACTCTATCTACAGCACCACACTGGGAAACCAAATTAGAGTAGCAAAATACATTTGGGTTAAAATAAGTTAAAAGCACAACAAATGAAGCACAGATAATCTTGTTAAACACAACCCTTCATCTTTGTATTTTTTAACTTTTTGCAGCATGATTCTCATGGGACCTTCGTTACACTCATACTTACTTCTCTTAGACAAACTGCACTATAGGCACATAAAAACTTGTTTATAACCCCCATGGCCTCAGGGTATGGTTGAAATGTTTCATAATAAAACTCAAGCAGGACTCAAAGTATATTTTATGGAAACTGGAATGAACTACATATTTTAAAACAAGCAGACTGGGCTCTGTTTTGGCCTGATCTCTGCTAGTCACAATGCCCTTCATTTCTGGTTAATTTCTCTTCCTTTTATTCATTATCAATTTCCTTCTGATCCCACAGAACTCTCCGCCAGCAAAAGTCTTTGCATGTTTTATGCACAGCATAACGTTAAACATTTCTCAGGGCGTGTTTTAAATCTGAGGTAAAATAAGCAAAATATAAGTCATCAACGGGAGTGCCTCTTCGCAGTACCTTCTGTCCTACTTCATAAAGCCTATTAATTCATACATTAATCAAGTGAATAGCAACTGTCTCTCAAGGGCTGGAAAACATGCCAACTGGGACAAAAGACAATTTTCATATGCTTCCTTAAATGAAATAAATTTCTATGCTGGAGTTTTGTTCAGTGTTGCAAGTAGACCTAAATGCCACCTCACAAGACTGCAGTACTTTAATCACTTCCACTAAAGTTCCTGCACTGGGATACACACCACCCTCTATTCTTCACCTGATTTTTTTGAATGGGATGGGGATTGGGAAATGCATCAACTTCCTGGTTTCACAGAATTCTCGAGGTATGTTCTATCACTAAACCACCATCCAAAGAACCTCATGACATCAGATCCTACCACCACTACTGATTTTCAGTTCAACCCAGATGAAAGAGAAAGGTTGGTACGAAAGGATCAGAGGATCAGTTTGCGCAAATCTTCATGCACACGCACACACACACTCACACACACAGAGAGAGTGGATCTTCCCGGATCTTGAATGCAGGATCTCACCTAACTCTAGGGAAGACGTTGCCATCTATAACGTAATGATGGACTATCCTTTTTGCTTGATCAGTGGCCATGCTGACTGGGGAATTCTGAGTCCAAAGAGTGGATTTTCTGAACTCTTGTCACCATTATCCATACTTGGCCCTACACCTTTTTCCCCTTTTCTTTCTCCAACAAGGATGACTGAGGACATTTTGACCATGGATGGGAAGCATATTCCAAAAGATTTCCATCTTGCAAATGCAAAACTGTTACTTCATAGGGGATTCAGTTCTACAGTACTTGTAAAGAAAGGAGCAGCTAGCTACTGTTAGCTTAACCTTCAGAACAACTGTAATGTTTCTATCCACCATATGGAGAGCACCAATTGCATAGTTTCCTTGGATCACAACTAGAAATGGGGGTATTTGTATTCGTATAGCCCCATTTTTAGTTGTGATCCAAGGAAATCAAATACTGTACGAATACTCCCATCTCTAATCACAACATGACCATTTTTCCAGCCCCGCCCCCCGCCCCCGGTGATTCATGGCCTTTTAATGTTTCTGAAGCACAATTAGATGAAGCCAGATGGTTGCTATAATCAGTCATGGTATTATGGATTTTTTTTCCCATTATAGATTTTATTTCTTCCCAGAGGCACATGCCACTTGTTAGCCTAGTCAACATAGTCTCTGAGAGTGGCAGCACATTTATGCTCTTGAGATGTACTGTTGCTGTTTGGGCTATATAAAAACACTTTAATACGGTTCTTTTTGATGTCTCCTGGGATAATTATACATGCTTCACCTTTCTTCCTCTCCTCCCCCCACTTTATCCCCACAACAATGTTGTGCCATAAGCTAGCTTGAGAGTGTCTCCTCCAGGGAGTTTCATGAACCCAGTGGACATTTGAACCTGGATCTCCCAACTCCCAGTCCACAACAAACATAGCAAATGCGCTGTCAGAATCGCATCAAAAGACTATCTAACCCAGCAGCCTCTTCACATAATGGCTGGCTAACAAGATACCTCTGGGAACTGTCCAAGCAAAAGCAATGACATTCTCTGCATGTTCTTCAGAAACAAATACTGAGAAGCAGACGAATGCTGAAGCAATACAGAGCCAGACTGTTTTTTGCTGTGACTTTGTGGCCAGCAACTTCCGACAAGGACAATCAAACCAGAAATTCAGCCTCGGTTGTGGCGCCAACTCACATGGAAGCCATTGAGGCCCCGACGGCACCCTATCGTCCTTTGGTGCCATCATGGCTGCCTCTTGGTCTTGATGGGTTGCTTTTTTCTCCCTAGCTCCCTTCGCCATCTGTCCACGTTCAAACGGTGGAGCGGCCTCAAAGCCTCTTTAAAAGTTTGGAAGTCAGGAACTGGCAGGCATCCACAACAGCTCCCTTCAACGTCACTCGCTCATCGCTCAGTGACATTGACGACGAAGAGAGAGCCACCAGATGGTTTCTGCCCGCTTGTTTCCAGTCCAAAACGGTGGCAGAAAGAGAAAGGAGGGTGGGAGGAAACTGGGCTCATTTAACAGATGGCAGAAGATGGAAACAAGATCAGTTTTAAATGAGAAGGGCATTTCTCGTAGATCCTGAACCAAGAGGCCTCCCACTTGGGAAAAGAGAAGGCCATGGTCTTCATCAAACACAACATGGCAGTTTTGACTCGGGTCCCTCTTTCCAGGCGAAAAGGACAACTTTCTGCGGAGTGTGTCTCAGCTGCAATTATTCACGGGTTACCAAGGCAATGTGATTTAAAGGCAACAGTGAGCTGAAAAGGCTCTCTCCTAAAGCCTGACTCCATGTTGCCTTGGTAACGCGTTATAGTCTGATCTACAGTGGTTATGTTAATCACACAGGCCGAAGTCTCGGAAAGAGACGAGAAAGGTGGTCTTTCTGGGCCTGGATGGGGCCAATTCAGACAGAAAGGTGGGGACAAAGTGTGTATTGTTCCTCCTTAAAAAAATTATAATTCCCTGCATACAGGAAACAAGTGTGCCAGGAAAATACGCGGGCAGAAAATAACTATCTGACTTCTCATGTTCTGTATTCAAGGATAATTTTTTAATCAAGGAACCTTCAGTATGAAGTGGTCCAAAAAAACATCTTGACCATTTCATGTGTTGTTTGTCCTTCCCTATCACTGATCTTTGGTACTGCTTCCTGGGAAAGTTGTTTCGTGACATGGGCTTCCCCACTTGACTATCCTCCAGTATTCATGCCGCATATTTTAGTCAAAAGCCTTAAAAGGAGCTAATGGTTCTCACAGATGGAAAAGGGCCACTTCTCTGTACTTGACCAAAATTGCTCCCCCCACCAATATTTTTCTCCTCTTGCTCTCTGATGTATTTGTTCATTTCACAGTAGCCTTGGCCCACTCTGGCTTAGAAAACCAATGCATGCCAATAAACTAAATATACTGATTTTCTCTTATTCCATAAACATGAGGACCTGACAGCCATTTCCAGATGTGCATGCACGAATATACCTCTATTTCTTTATAGAGTTTTATGTTTTAATTCCACCTACTCCCGAGTGCAGGAATGCAATGAATGAAGGTACATTCAAATAAGGTTGTTTATTATGCAACATGATCATTTATTTCACTGTCATATCTACATCCCACCCTTCCCTAGGCTGAGTGATAGAAACATAGAAATTGGAAGTTTACTATAGCTTCGAAAGACCTCTTCTTACTTGGAGGTAAATCTCACGGAAGCGAAGGGACTTTCATCTACCTGAACATTATTAGAGCAGGAGCTGGTCTATCTCGTGCTTATTTAACAGCAAGGCCTGTGCATTTACAGCTGATGAGCACCAGAGGGCATGAAATACTGGACAGACTCTAAATCTAAGACATATAGCATAAATTGTTCTCAGAGAACTTAAATTCATAAAGTCTCAGAAGTCTTTCATTAAAGACTTCATGTTATATAGTTTGAAAACCATGTCATAGACATACTATTTATCATTGTAAAATAGCATATTCCACACTCCTTTTTTTCCTATTTTTCTGCAGGGGAAAAACCAAAAAGTGGATTTGGAAAAATACAGGGGGAGGGGGACTTTTTCTCTCTCTAATTTTTCTGGGTTTCTTCCAGGCCTTCCCATCTCTACGCACAACGTCTCACACTAACAATGATGGGGGATCTGAGAAGCAGAAGAGGGATATGAATGCCTCCATAATAAAATTCTTATATGTAAGTCTCCCCATACCATGCCTCTTTTAAACAATTAAAATGTTGACCATAGCACTGAAATCACAGGGAGCTATTCTGCTGTGTAGTAGAGGATATACCAAAAGTAAATAAGGGCAAAACTGTACATTCACTGCACCTCCAAAATATATCTCTATCTAGGTATCAGTAGATAACAGCCTCCTGTTCCTGAAGGCCAGATACCAGCATCCAGGCACAAGAGCAATAACCGTGGAATTCAGGGTAACGGAAATCATGCAAGTGGCTGATTAGCAATTAAGGAACTTCTTGTAGCAAGAAAGAGGCATGGGAATACAGGAAACTGAATCTATTGTATGAAATCCCTGTTCCACTTAGTTGGGTACTGGTGGAGCTAACTGGCAGCAGGCCTCCAGCCAAAATTAATTCCTTGGAGATTCCATGAATTACAGTAAGATTGGAAACTTCAACCTACAGTATAAGGCAGAGGCTGTTAATCTAAGCCTCTCCCTAATGGGTCCCCTTCCACAGCCAACATAATTGTATGTGCACACAGGAGCACAGAACGGGAGCAACAGCGTGTACAATTCTTACTACTTTGACCATCGGGGGGGGGACCTTCAGCATGGCACCACTCTCCTGGAGAACCTACTCGTTCATGTAGCATCTGGTGTGCCTCTTTGTTCAAACAAAGGAGGACTGAATCTACCTCCTTTCAACTCCGCTTCTTAAAGCTCAGAAGACTTCCAGACACAAAGAGGCCACCTAAGGGCTACCAACGTTCCCTGACCAGAACCCGTCTCATTTGAACTCCTCTTTCATGAGCATGCACAGAAGCCGAGCATGATGATGGGATACATTTTATATCATACATGCTAGTTGCACCTTCTCTACTGCCCACCATATCCAAAACAAGCAAACAAACTCTCTGTACACTTAAGACAAGTAGTGTTAGGAAGGAGGGTTTCTGCTTTATCAGAACTTGGAATGAACGTTTGGCCTGCATCTCCCACAAGTCTCCAGGCAGCATGACCTGTACAGGAGCTATAGGCTTTTAAAAATGGTTACCCATCCAGAGTTCACATTTGCATGTTCCATGTAAGTTTCTGCTTTATCAGAACTTGGAATGAACTTTTGGCCTGCATCTCCCACAAGTCTTCAGGCAGCATGACCTGTACAGGAGCTACAGGCTTTTAAAAATGGTTACTCATCCAGAGTTCACATTTGCATGTTCCATATAGAACACTATGTCTGTAAGAAAAGGCTCAAAAATGCAACCCTCCATCTCCTCTAATCTCTGCAGCGTGATCGTACCATGTCATTCAAACGCCACGCATAACGTCAGAAGTGCTTTAACTTCCACAGGACAAATTGTGTCCATGCCGCTGGGGGAAAAAAAACTGCTATACATCAGATCAGACCCGTGATCCATCTAGACCAGAACTGTCCATGCTTACTGACAGGCCAGTTTCTCTTCTGGACCCCTGTGGAAACGCCAGGAATTCATCCTGTGATCTTTTGCATACCAACCACGTCTTCTACCACTGAGCCACAAGCCCCTTCCAGTGTTTCATCAGAGCTTGCCTTATAAACCATTGCTTATTTCATGCTGCCACACTGCAGCCCCAAGAAGCAGCAGGCAACAGCAGACAAAGAGTTTCAGTGTTTGGACTCAAGGCACACCCACTGCAGCAGAGAGACAAGAAGGCAGACAAAGCTGACAGGTATATGACTGCAAGGCGGGCATCTTCATGTCTTCTCTTAGCCACAAGACCTTCTCAACACCCTTGGCAAACGTCTCATATCAGATAAACTGTCATGTGTCTCCTGGCAATGTAACAGACAGCTATTACGCCAGGATTACAGGGATTAGGGTAGATGGCAGAGCTCATTTTGCCCCTCCAAGTCAAGGATTAAACTTTCAGTGTAATTCCGTTCTGTAAACACTCCAAAATACAGTAATTGTTTTTGATAAATGGACTCTGTGTGTTCACATGTGAATAGTATTAACCACTGCCTAAAACCAGACCAGTCAGAATCGGGTGACTGATATGCCAGCGCTGGGTGTATACCATCCACAAACTTGTTCTGTGTAAAGTCAAGATCCAGATGCTTCACCCAAGCAAAACAGAACCACTTGCTGATTTAGATTAGAAAAGGAGTAGGAAAACCACAACTCTCTTCTAAAATAAAGGGGCCGGGTTCAAAACAGAGGTCCCTCTACCCTGCTAGTAACATGATCTCCACATGAGTTGGATTTCACCTACATGACCTGTACCTTCAAGACTATCAATTCTTATTGGGTAAAACAGAAAGGATGGTATCAAATTACTGCCACCACACATGCTGATGTGGAACAGTCTCCTCACACGACTGCATCAAGTTCGTAATGACACTTTCCAAAAGCACCCTAGCCATGTTGGCCCAATTAAATTTGAGAACTGGAAGATTCTTATGGTCCCATACTTAGATAGTGAGGAAGCCCCAAAGAGAGATTTGAATCTGGCACAGCTCCTTTCAGCAAAGTGGGTACCATATAATAACAGAGAAATACATTAAAAATGAAGGACTGCAGAGGCACCGTTCTGTCCTATGTCTGCTCACAAGATGGCTTATTGATCCTTGTACACATTTCTAGACGAGATAATCCACTGTTGGCCATCTGACCACATAACCATGACAACAATCTTTCTAATCTCCCTTTTGAACAACAGAGAGCAATGGGGGTGTCTTTCTTGGTTCAGACGGCACAGGATCAGGCAGAGCTTGGGAAAGTGATATTTTTGGACTACAGTGCCCAGAATGCACAGGCACTGGCTCTCAGTTCAAGCAAGTGTAGGATTTAAAGCGCCTCTTTAAGTCCCTTCCTTTCCTATGTATTTCTCTATAATTGCTGTGAGACAGGAGGCGAGAGGGATATCCCACTCGCTGGAGAGCCGTCCTTCCTCCACACGGAAGATAAGGAAACTCGAACCCAACTGACACCAGCACCCACAAAGACAGAACAGCGAGGGACAGAAGCACACGGTCTGGGAAAAGAGATGCAAAGAATGATGCTACAGGGAGAAAACAGGGAGAAACGGCAGGAAAAAGAGAGGAAGAAGAGGGTGGAGTTTGAGGCAGGGATGGCAGAGATAAAAAGGAAGGAAGAACAGTTACCACCAGGTTAGGAATGGGTGTGGATGGAGGATCTCTGGACTGGGTCATGGTAGAGACTAAGAGTGCCCAAGGAGGAGGCTGATTATAGAAGGAGAAGAGAGATCCCACCCAGACCCTCATATTGGGGAGAAGCCGAGGCAAGAGAGTAGAGAAAGAGACTGAGAGAGGAGAAAGAGAAAGTTGAGAGAGAAAGGAAAGAAAGCCTAGAATGGAGGATAAACGAGATGAGGAGGAAGTGTAGGATTTAAAGGAAAGGAAAGAAAGGGAGGGAGGACCTTGGAAGGATCCAACACCAGAGGGACTCTCCCCGTGGAATGACAACTGGGATGGCCAGAGGGACGCTCCCTGTGGAATGACGACCGAGACGGTGAGATCATGCCCCTGTTGGAAGGTGAGACGGGACAGACCGTAGCAAACGACATCTTTACAGACTGGCCGGGCCCTTGGAATGCCAGCGGTAGAAACCCGTTCCCGTTTGAAGATTGGAAATCCCGTCGAGACCCGTCCAAATCATGTTATAGACACTTGTTGTTTGTTAAATACACCAATAAATATTTCACCTGGTTCGAAACAGTAAAAATCTACTGATTTCTTTGAAACAAAAATGGAGCCAAAAGTCCAACTCTTACAATTGCATAAGGCAGAAAAGAGATTTGCTAGTCTCATCTCTCCCT